TAATGTGAAATAATTTATCATTTTGTGCAGAATGGACATTATTTTTCCCCACATAATGTGGATTATGGGGTGCTTAGATTCCACACTTTATGTGATCCTAGCATTCCTAGCCAGATAAAAGAGTTATTGTCTCCAAATGCTTTAAAGCTTTTTAAAAACACTTGTTTTGGTTACTTACTGTCTCTCCCCTCCATTTGCATGCAAAACCAAGCTATTCATCTTCTGATGAAGTATGAACTGTCTAAGTCTAATGAATCATTTTTTTCAGTCCACTTGAAGGGGGGAAAATTGAATATTTCATTGAGAGAATTTGGTTTAATTACCGGTTTAAATTGTGTGAATCAGTTTACAGATTATGGATATACTTCTAGTTATGTTAGCAAGTTAATGAATAGCTATTTTCCTAACAAAACAGAGTAGAGAAGTGGTATTTGAAAAAACATAGTTACAAATAGATCTTGGGTAAACGATGAGGATGCAGTCAAGTTGTGCATTCTTTATCTTTTGAAATTTTTTGTTTGCCCGTATGACAAAGACCATGTGTCTTTTATAGACCACTTTAGGTTCTATTTGGTAGAGTCTGGTCAGTTTGAGTCATACCCATGGGGTATTAAATCGTTCAATCAGGTTATGGAATTCGTTAGGCATAGTCTAAATCCCCGTGTACATTCTTATCTCATACGGGGATGCTCATTAGTCTTGCAATTGTGGCTTTATGAGTGTTGCTCGACCGTCAGCATGGAGCTTGCTACGAGGTGTTCTGACTCAATACCTCGCATATTAAGATGGTCAGCTACTAAGGGGCGGATTTGGTTAACTGCCTTTGAAGAGAAGATGATCAAGCTTGAGTGGATTTAGGTATTTTTTTTAGTTTTGTATGTTGCTACATTTACCTTTATAATATCTACAATTAGTCTACATTTTCTGCCTTAGTGAAACTAACTATTTTTTTTCATCATTCAGTTCACAAGCATGACTGAATCTGGAGAAGAGATTGGAGTGCTTACTCTGCCAAACAAGATTGAGTATGAAGATGAACAAGGTGCACAATCATCAGAGGTTCCAAATGCTGATTCCCTAACATTGGAACCCAAACATACAGATTGTCAAGAGGACAAAGAATCTGTAGCTAAGAAGCTCAAGAAGCTAGAAAAGGGAATTGAGCAGGTAATATTATTAACTACAATATATTTACATATTTGCTACACTTTATCTACATTTCATAACAATTTATGTAGTATACATTGTAGTTAAACTGTAGTATAATTCTATAGTAAGCCCTGTTGGGATTGCACACATTGTAGTTAAATTGTAGTATAACTGTAGCAATTTGTAGACAATTGTAAAAACAATACTGCCTCGTACATAATTAAACTGATTTGTAATTTATTTGAATAAAATTACCAACTAATTATATTTTAACTTTTAGGTCGATGGAAAGTTAGAGGATTTTAGGAAGGTTGTATTTGAGGAACTCCATGACCTTCGAGTGTTTATAGATGATTCTGTGAAGAGTGTTTTGAATTTGATAAACAGAAGATACGATGTGGATGAGGCAAAGGTAAGAGTTGATATATATTTATATACCAAAACAAATTATGACATATGAAACAATATACTCAAACTAACATAAAATCTTTAGTTTGCTGGTAGTTCAACCAAAAACAATTACCAACAACAAGGAGTGAACAACCAGCAATTTCAGTTCAATATTGGTGATCAAGTGCATGCAACACAAGCAACCCAGGTATCTACAAAATACCTACAAATATATACACTTAGTATAAAACTTTATAGAGCATAGTTTTATTATTCACATTTTATCTACAACTTCCTACATACATCTACAACTTTCAAGGCAGTATTATCTAGTATTATTTATCTTTTTTAATTATAAATTGAAGCTGCAGTTTGTCCAGAACATATTCCAGCACATGTTGACTTATATCCAGAATTTCAAGAAGCAGCTGAGGTAGAACAAGCAGGTATAATATCATACTGTCATTCAGAATAAATAATTGTTGTTTATACAATTTTATATTCCTGCTAAGTAAGTTATGTTTTATGTAACAGATATTGAAGATATCAATGCATAGTCCCCAATTCACGGAGTGACTGTAGCAGCTCAGACAAAACAAGTCATTGAGAAACAGCTAAATAAAGGTGAAGATGCACAGCATGTGGATGAAGTTGTTTCTGAAGGATCAGGCATTGATAAGAAGGGTGTGACATTGGATGACTTTGAGTTACCAAACAACTTAACACAATTGGTTAAGTATGGCGAGCCCATACCAGATGAAGCAACCCCTATTCATCCGGGGAGAACCAGGCAACCGGGAAAACATGCACGATCACCTTCCATACCTCTATATAGTTCTGGAGACAGCAGCTCTATTGGACCTAAATTTTTCTACCTCAAGCACCCCTTCACAACTCTTATAGGTGAAAATGTAGATTCTGATGTGTTAGATAAGTTCAACAAGTGGTTATACCACCGTAGTGACAAAGTATCTAAGACGTATGAATGCTTAATTTAACACTTTCATTTCAGCATTTTAAAGTTTAAATATGTAATTCATTCTGTGATTTTTTTTGATTGGACATTTATTTGTTGTTACAGGAGGAAGGCTCCCTTTTCCATAAAGGATAACCAAATCAAGCCTTGGTTAGACCTTGGAGTTGAAAAGGTGGATAAGAAGGACTGGTTTTATTCCCTTGCTCACCCCGGACAAGTCCTCAATGACTCGGTAAGTATCAAAGAATAAATTCACAAGATATATTTTGTTTTCTGTTTTGTAGTATAATTGTAGTTATATTGTAGATATAAAATATATGTGACCATGCCTTTTATTATAAATTGTAGATATAATGTAGACATTTCTTATAAATGTTGCTCTTATTATTTATAGTGTGATTGTATTTAGGTTGGACCTTATGTATCATATTTGATGATGAATTGTATGTAAAAATTATATATTTGGTAATTTGGACAGAATTAGTATATCTGTATTTCATGATTGTAGTTAATTTGTAGTTAAATTGTAGAGCAAGTTGATGACTTATAATATTAACTGTAGTTTGAATGTAGATTTTATTGAGGCCTTTGTGGTAGTTGTTGTGTTCCATGTGTTGCTGTGTATAGCAGCTAAAGTGTAGCTATTTATTAGATTATTTGAATTCTGGCTTTGTAGTTTAAAGTGTAGCTGCTTTGTTGATAATTGTAGTTACACTGTAGCTTATAATAGATTTTATTTTATTTTGCAGCACATTGATGTTATTATGTATTACCTGAGAAAAGGAGGCAAATATGGCCCCAACAATAACAACACTAGGTCTACAACAACTGATTGCTTGTTCAAGTCAAAGATTGAACAAATCTATGAGAAGTTCATAAGTTCTCCGCCAGAAAAAAAGTATTCGGTTGTTAAACCCGATGATGATGTTGCAAAATATATTCTTGGGTATAGACTTCTTGCTAATGTTGTCTGGAATGAAGTTGACTATGTCATCATGCCCGTGAATATTGTAGAGAATTTTCATTGGTTGTTGGTCGTTTTCGACATAACGGACAGGCAACTTTATGTGTATGATTTCATGGTGTCTTCACACCATCATAATGTTGTTGAATCATGTGTTGATAAGTTTTCAATCATTATCCCTCTATATTTGTCTTGCACTAGTTTCTACGGAAAGCGTAAAGACATTGACTTCAAGACCACAAAGGCATACATTGAGAAACCAGTTACAAACCCTCTCAACATACAGTGGATGGTTGCGGAGATTCCACAGCAAAAGGAAGGATCACTGTAAAAAAATTATTCTCTCTTTCTAGATGTTTAATTTTTTTTTTTATAATCATTTGTTAAATAATTAATNTTTGTTAAATAATTAAATTTTTTTGTCTTATGCAGCGATTGTGGTGTATTTGTGGCTGCTTTTGCGGAGTATGTTAGCCTTGGAGATTTGTCAATCCCTTCAGAAGACCTTTCGGATATCGACCAACACCGTAGACGCTATGGATCTCTCCTATGGGACTATGCTACAAAGAAGCAAGAAGATGGGTCAATCAGTGAAAGTGAGGTTACATGCAGGCTAGCAAGGAGGAAGGGTACTCCTACTTTGAATGAGAAAACTAGAGTCCAGAGAAAGAAGAAATAGTGTCCTGTTTTCCTAGTTTAGTTGATGTCAATTTGTAGTTGAAGGAGAATACACTACTTTATGAACAAATTTTTTATTTTTTTATTGCAGCATACCTTTTTGTTTTGTTATTTTATCTTTCATTATTAGTTGTTCACTTGAATATAAATTGGTTGTTTACAGCACTGTATCTTCATTATATTAAACATGAGTATTTTGATGTTAGAATACAATTTGCCTACAAATAATCTTCACAATATCTACATTTTGGAAACACTCAATGTAGTTATTGTATATAATTTTGTAGTTGTATATGTTGATAGTTTTTATGAAATAACTTCAAGTTCTAGGTAATATCTGTATATAACTGTCAGTTGAATTTAAATTACACAACAAACAGAAGAAATAAATATTCCAATCATAGAAATATATTATCCACAATTTATCTACAAATCATCTACAAATTATTACCAAGACTACAATTTAACTACATTTAACCTATATTTTACCTACAATCTGGAAACACTTTACATTAAAGTTACTTTTTTAATATCAGTTGTATTGTAGATAATAAATATTAAAATTTAATTACACTATATCAAAGACAAATTTAGATGCCTGACACAATACATAAAAGCATATTAAACACACATAAATAAATTGTAGTCTACTTCATAATGATCTTTAAAAACTTAAACGATTACACAAAAAATCTGCTAACTTTAACCCACTAACAGTTAGTTTGAATAACTATTCTAACTACATGATATTCATTTCTTCTTGGGCGCACTCTTGCAAGATCTTTTGTTATGCCCTTCACCTCCACAATTTTCACATGACACCTTGTACTTCTTTGACTTTATTTAATCATATATTTTATATCTTTCCTTTTGAGGTCTCCCTGGCTGCCTTTTATCTCCCGTTGGTGGATTTACTGCCTCATCCAAAATATATTGTGGCGCATTCCATTTGCTTTCATCAGGAAGAGGATTTATTGGTATTTCATACGTACGCAAAAGGCTCTCCCTTGTGTAATTCGGAGAGCAATAGTTTTCATATGTTTCATTCATGTGCCTTAATGTTGTCAAAGCTTGCGCACATGGAAGTTCTTCAAGTTGGAATTGGCCACAGCTACATTTCTTATTTTCTAGACACACAATGTACAGCTTCACACCATCTAACACAGTATGTATATGATCTGTTGAAGCCCTCACCTACAATTGTAGAACAAACAGAAAAAATATTATATCAATCATAAAAATAGATTATCTACAACTTATCTACAAATCATCTACAAATATTCTACACCTAATCTAAAACCTACAATTATCTACAATTTGATTACAATTTATCTACAATCTGGAAACACTGCATATTAAGTAATTATTTTTTCTGCACCAAATAAATAGATCTTACCCTAAGCTTCTGAGATAATGTTCTGTTGTTCTCTAATTCTCTGTTGAATTTGGACCCAAGAAATGTGAAAGTACCCTTCACCTTCAATAACTTTTCGTTAGTCCAACGTTCTAGCAGTGTCCGCATATACTCTAAAAGGTCAAATATCGGCAGCTCTCTTGCATTTTTTGTTACAGCGTTCAACGACTCTGTACTATTTGATGTCATTGTTCACGTTCTATTCACTGTTGCATGTACTCTTGACCATCTATGATAGCCAATATCATATAGGTAAGATTTTACACGGGGGTCTACCTCTTCAATCTTCGACATCCTTTCATTAAATTCATCCAGAGTGTATGACCGTGCTGTAGCAAAGTAAAATTCATGTAATTGTAGATGACCCTTTATATTTGTCCAAATATGCCACATGCAAGAGTAGTGTGGCATGCCCGGATAGACAATTGATGTTGCCTTCAGTATACTCTCATTCCTATCTGAAACAACACACATTGAAGATCTTTCACCATATGCCTGCTTGAATTGCTCAAAGAACCACTTCCAAGATGCGTCGTTTTCAGAATCAACCACAGCATATACCAAGGGCAATATTGTACCTACATTATTAATTCATAAAATATTAATTGGCAGCTTTGAAAATGTATATAAAAATATAAATACATAACAACTACAATATATCTTCATAATATAGACATGGATATCACCCTTGTTCTTGTATATAGGAACCATTGTGTTCCACCTCCACTCTTCGGGCATCTTCTTCGTTCTAAAATGACATTAAATAACCTAGTGAGCCACTTCAAGCCTACCTTGCCCGCACTCTTCCAAAACTCTACCGGGATTTTATCCGGCATGGTCGCTTTGCCCCTGCTCATCTTACGCATAGCCCCCTCAACTTCATCAACTCTAATCCGCCTACAATACCCAGAGTTACAACGACTCTCGGAGAGTTCCAAATTACCCATTACAATGCTCATGTCCCCTTCCTCATTCAAGAGACTATGACAGTAGGTTTGCCATCTCTGACGGATAAGCCCCTCATCCAACAATACTCTACATTCTTCATCCTTAATGCACTTCACTTGGTCCAAGTCACGCGCCTTTCTTTCTTGCGCCTTGGCTAACCCGAACAACCTCTTATCCCCACCCCGGCCCTCGAGTTCCTCATACAAACGACTAAAAGCTGCAGTCTTGACCGCCGTAACTGCTAACTTTGCATCTTTCTTAGCCAACTTATAATGCTCCCTATTCACCCTCTTCTCCTCCTCGTTTACACTTTCCACTAGCTTCAGATACGCTATTTTCTTGGTTTCACTTTTCCTTGCACCTTTCCATTCCAACACCAGTCTCCTTTGTGACCACCAGAGTAACCTTTTGAGACCCCTAATACCTCTCTCGCGGCTTCCCTAATGCACTGCGCAGTCGTGGTCCACGTAGCGCACGTCCCCACTACTCCTCCAAGCCCTCATAGTCACCAGCTTGACCCCCAACTCCTGCGCTTTAACTTCCATCAAGGCTCCCCACTTGATCCTATGTTGGTTATACATCGCCCTCTTCCTCCTCTTCCTCGTGATCTCAAGGTCCATGACCAGGAGTCTATGAAGGGTCGAGAGGTTCTCAGTCGGGATGACCTTGCAATCCGTGTAAAGACGTCTATCAGACCTATATCGGACTTCCATCAGAATAAATAATCAATCTGAGTCTCAGCTACCGAACTCCGAAAGGTGACCAAGTGCTCCCTCTTCTCGAGGAAACTCGAGTTTGCTATTACCAAAGCAAATGCTCTAGCAAGGTTCAGTAGAGGCGTACCTCCTCCGTTTCTATCTCTTAAACCAAAGCTACCATGCACATCAGTATACCCCTCAGACGTCGCTCCAATGTGGTGGTTAAAATCTCCTCCTGTGAAAAGCTTCTCGGTATGCGCGATACCACACACCATCTCATCCAAATCCTTCCAGAAACGCCTCTTGACTTCCTCATTCAAGCCTGCTTGGGGTGCGTACGCACTGATTATGTTCCAAGTAAAACCTCCAACAACTAGCTTAATAGTCATTAGCCCATCATTCACATTCCTAACCTCTACCACTAGTTCATGGAGGTCCTTATCAACCAAGATACCTACCCCGTTCCTGCCCCCACTCTCTTAGAATACCGAAGTTTGAAACTGCCCACATCCCGCACCTTATCTCCCGCCCACCTAGTCTCTTGTACACAAGCTATATTAATTTTCCTTTTCTCGAGAATCTTCGCTAACTCTACAGATTTTCCATTCAAAGTTTCTATGTTCTAAAACCCCAGTCTTAGCCTAGTAGCTCCCTTAGCCCTCTTACCCCCTCCCCCCACTGACACCCCCGAGGACAAGACCTTTCCCTACCATCGTTCACCAAAACCACTATAATCTAGGAGTCATTACGTAAGCACTATCCGGAAAACAAGCGACAAAAATAAAATGAATTGCTGAAATATAATCTACCACTAAAGGTCGCAAAACATGTGAAAAAATAAAATAAAGGAATTAACGGGAACTATAATCTACAATTAAAGGTCAGGAAAACAAGTGAAGTATAAAACAAAGGAACTGAAGGAACTATAATCTACAACTAAAGGACAGAAAAATAAGAAATATAATAGGTAAAGGGGGTGTATACAGTAAAAATTAGAGGGTCCAATTTTTGGTCATTATGACGCTTCGTAAGCACGTCTCCAAGGGCTCGAGACAGGGGCTGAGGTTCAGCCCCGAGGGGTTATCAACATTGGACCTCGGGGCAGTGCAGATCGGCAGTTATGATGGAAAAACGGGAAGTTCCCAAGACACGTGACTAAGACTGACCAAGTCTATTAGGCTAGTACGAGCCCGTACCGTGGCATTAAATGGTTGTACCTGCCAAGTATCTTTGTAATAAATGCATTAGTACTATGTTGGGATTTCCCCTCATATAAAAATGGGACCCTTGTCATTTTGTAACGGGACACATGATAGATAACATTCAATACAAGAACAAGAACATTCTCTGCTCTCTAATTTAAACACATTCTCCCTTGATTCTATTATTTACATTTATTGCTCATTGTTGATCATAAAGAGCCTTCGTCAAAGCTCTCAAAGCTGTTAGTCCTTCATCGACTGTCCATAACTTAGTACCGAGCTCGACCTCGAGGCCCCGATTCTCAGCCACTCGGTTTGCTTAACATACTGTTTTCAAGTTCTTATCTTATTTCCTAGTCTTATACTTTGCATCTATTGCCTAACAACTAACATAAAAATAAATCACATATTTTTAGAATCACAAGATCAAATCTAATTGTAATTACCATTTTCAAGGTAAACAGGGGCTATAATCTACAACTAAAGGTCACAAAGAAAATGTGCAAAACTAGATTAGAACTACTAGGGGATATTTGAAATAAAGATTCAAAATAAAGATGTAAACAGGTAGATAATAATATAAACAAGTAGGCAAAGCTATCACTAATGCAATTAATTTGACAATGTTACGGCAAATACTAACTAAAGATTCAAGAACGAAATAGGCAGGTAAGGAGATACAATTACACTAAAATATCAAACTATTAAAATATCAAGACAAGAGAGGAACAATAGAACCTGGTTTGCAGCCCTTTGAAGTTAATAGAAATCTGGCCGGCGGTCATGGATTGCGAGGAGCTTCAAATATTTTTGTGTTTTCTATGGAATTTACACCAACCAAGAAATCTTTTTCTCCAATGTAATACACTTCGCCGGAAAACCAAGATTAAGGCCACCACTTGGGGAACACTTATAATGGAGGTCCAGAAGCGAAAATGTTCAGTTAACGGAGAAATCGAAGTGAAGAAGCAAAAGAAAACGGCGAAAGATGACGGGAGGAACAAGGCTGTATCTCATTAAGAATCGAAATTGATTAATGAAAAATCGATGACCAGTAAGGAATCCAACTTTCCTCTTTTTTCTATTTTTTCGTTGCTCTTAGAGTGAATAGTCCTCTCTACTAAGAAAACAATATCCTTCTTGTGAAAACCAACAAGCAGCTATAACAAAGTTATTGAACGGAGCTACAGAAAATAGTATTCCAAGAACCCAAAAGAAACACAAGTGCCTGAATTCACCAATTCGGCAATTCACCAATCCCAAAATGCGGATAAAGAAGCGAATCCAATATAAAAACCCCAAAGAATTACAAACAAAAAAGGGCCTCTTTAAAGGTCGCTATAATAAATGACGAACAAAGCGAAACTGAAGAATACGCGGTTGTGCCAATTAGAAAATTGTAGCAGTTGAATCTCAAAGTAAAGGAAAAGGGTATAATAAACAAATAACAGAAAGATGAGATGGATCGAAAAAGAAAGAAAATTTCACCCTTTAATGTTTAATACAGCAGCGATTGTGCAAGTGACGTCTAAACTTTCAAATAGATCTGTCTCCCAATTACTGCGGGAAAGAAACTTAAAAATATTATCTCCTATTTATTGGTTTCTTTGGTCCCCAACATTGACTACATGGAATGAAATAGAAACTGCTTGCTTATTAGTTGGGGACATTATAGTACTACTATGTAGCCGTGCATTGGTCTTAGCTCTGAAGCGTATTCCATGCCAGCAACATTTAAGATCATTACATATCTCTAGCTTTTTGAAGCAACATTGGGAAGATGAATCTCATATGTAGAATATTCCTATATACAAGTATCTGCAAAATGTTAGGTTGCCGAGGTGCTTTATTTGCTTTTGCTTTTACGTCTTGGATTGGAATGTCTTGTCTTTTCCGACGTTATAACTGGCTATTCCATCTATTATTTTTTTATGTTACAATATCTTAAATATTTTGCAGGAAAATGTCGAGACAAAGCATCCTCAATTGCTATTTGAGTCGAAGTTGTATAGAGTTCTTCAGGGAGGAAGTAATTGGCTTATCCTGTTTCTATTCCTAATCTCTGTTCCCACTTTTCTAGTTTGTTCTGGTTAGCATTATAATTGTAATACTTTTCATGTAGCTGGAATTCCAAATGCGAGGTGGTTTGGCGTGGAGGGAGATTACAATGTTCTGGTCATGGATTTGCTTGGACCCAATCTTGAATTTTTATTAAATTTTTACAGTAGGAAGCTTTCCCTGAACACAGTTTTGATGCTTGCAGATCAAATGGTTAATTAAAATTTAATGCTTCAAATTTTAGCATTAGTATACCTTAAAATGTGTTGGTTATATGGCTATTCTGGTATTTACTGCAGATAAATTGTGTCGAATTTGTTCATTCTAAATCATTTTTGCACCGAGACATCAAGCCAGACAATTTTCTAATGGGCTTGGGAAGGCGTGCAAAACAGGTCCCATATTCTTATTACTGTGTCGTTACTTTTTTTACCATGATTTTGCAGGATTTATGTTTCTTTAATATTTTGTTTTGGCTTAAAGTGCAGGCCTACATTATTGACTTTGGTCTAGCCAAGAGGTACAGAGACACTTCAAGTCACAAACACATTCCTTACAGGTAAGTTTATTATGAGTTGCTCATTTGGTAGGATATTAAGTGTTTACCGCACCTTTCTTTCTTTCCACTTTAAAATCTTGAAAATACTCTAGCGGAGGATGTAGTGAATTCTCACTTGCCCCTTGTGTTCTTTTCCCTTGTTTATAAAAGCTCTGAGTTTGCTTTAGCATTGGAAGCAAGGCAATCTGTACTCCATATAAAATTCCCTTCCAAAGAGGACATCATGACGCAATATGCTTATCCTAAAAGAGGACATCATGACGGAAATGAAGAATCATGTCTATATACTATTAAAAGGAAAGAAAAAAGCCTCCACATTAAGCCAAGTGGTAGCCTCGCAATAGGCCACTTGGCAATTTAGGAAAAAGTTAGTTAGGTTAGGTAATAATTATTTTCTCTTTGAATTTAATTTTAAAAATAAATAAATTATGCATTATGTGTTTTTTATTTCAATTTAAATACACTTAACTATTTTTTTACGAAACTATAGTTTTTATATATTGAAAATTATTTATTTTGAAACTTGTTCTATTTTAAATTGGGAAGTTGCCAGAACATAATATAACTTTATATATTATATTAAAAGAATGATAGTGAAGCATGAGGTCAAGCCAAGTATCATATAGAGAAAATACTACCTCGCACTTTAAAGGCAAAATTTAACTTCATTTTACTACAAAAATCTAATATAAATCTATATTATAGAATTGTATAGACAATTTGTAATGCTAAGAGTGTTGAAATTGAAAGATAAAATACACAATCTTTAATATTCTTATTGGATTATATCATTCTATATATTTGAATTGAGATAAAGCTTCTAAATTTGAGTCGAGAGACAAAAATATTTGAATTAATTTAAAGAATAAAATACATTCTTCTCTCTTCCCCTATTTATATTGGTCTCGCAGGTCATTATCAATTCGCACAAAATAAAAGATATGCAATAATGAAACAATTAGAAGAAACATAGTAAAAAAATGTAAAAATCAAAGCTTAATATTGAAAATAAAATAAAAGAAAAGTCTAATTGCTTATTCCATATAATGTAAAAAAAATATTAAGAATATTGATGCATTTTATATAAAAATATAGAACATATAGATGGACGAAGTAAAAATCAAAATTAGTATTAACTATGAAACTATTTCAGTTATTAATTATAGATAAAATACTAAATTTAATAAATAAAAGAAAGTAATAAATAATAATCCATATATTATTGATAAATTTAGACAATTGAAGAATTAAGCAGCTTGAAAGTGAAGCCAAGTGGTATTCAAGCTTGATATGAAGATAATATATTAAATGTTGTCTAAATTATATTAAAAGGATGGTAGTCAACCTTGATTGAAGCCAAGTGGCGTACTAAAAAAAGAAAAAAAATATATAATGATAAGACTTATTTACATTTGAGATGAGAAAGCGCTTTTATAATTCATCATCATCATCATACCCAGTATAATCTCACATGTGGGGTCTGGGGAGAGTAATATGTACGCAAACCTTACCCCTTCCTGGAGAGGTAGAGAGGCTGTTTCCGATAGACCATCGGCTCAAGAAAAGTGCT